AATTTGAAGCAAAATTGGGCCCCCTAAGGGTTTTGGGCCTGAGGCTGAGGCCTCAAATGCCTCAGCCCAGGACCGGCCCTGACTCTACCTAGCGATAAATGAAAGGAACTTATAAGGTTTTTTACAGCGACTCAAAAAGTTATATGATAGAAAGCAACTGGAAAGTAGATATAGTCTAGCCACAAGCTTGTTTTCAAAATGAAAAAATAAAATTGCAATTCTGATGGACAATCATAAATTGGGCTAATCCTTTTTTGTTGGATTTGTTGATTCTCTAGATGCCTATCAAGAAGCTTTACATGGTTGTTGAAATGGCTGCTCAAGGGGAAGATGGTGGAGCAGCAGAAGCCATATATTCTGGCAAACAAAAGATCCAAATTTCACATTTTTACGATTGCCTCCAAGACGTTGTGGGGTATTAGTGAGGAATCAGTTTTGTAGCATTGTTGCTTTATACATTTTTCATCTCATCTAACTATGATGATCTTAGATCAGACCTAGTTATGGTTTTTAGGAATGAGTTGGTGTCATTCAAGAAATCAGTTTTGTTAATCTTATATTCCTATTTTTTGGGTTTAAATTTTTGTCTGAATTTCGTGTCTCTAGTCATCTGATTGACTGGTTATACTATATTTTGTGGTTTGATTTAGTGTTCGATTCTTGTGACCGGATTCTCTCGCTTCATTTCTCTCCCGGGATTGTAAATGTTTGGTCCTAATTACGATGGTTTACATGCTGGAAAAATGCGTGCTTTGAACTTTTAATTACACTTTTAGAGCTAAAGAGCATTGTGCTTTTAAACGACTCAGTGCTTAAAGATTGACAAAATAAACCAAATGGACCAATGATTTCTGGTCAAGATAAAGGGATTACCCCTCAAGACCAAGAGAAAGGGAAACTGAGTCAACTGGGTCCTACTCGGTTGTTTGACTGTCTCGGAAATACGAGGCACAAAACATAAATTTCAGGAATGCATGATTATGTGGATAACTGGTCATAATTCATGTATATGGGACACCCCTGGATTATGAGAAAAGCTAGTCGTGCAATCAAGGCCATTCGTGTCGATCATCTTTAAAGCTTCCGTCAATGTATAAAAACTCTGTAGATTCTTAACGGTTATGGTAGATGATGTTCTAGACGAGAGTTGACTGGATCAACGATAATTCAACCGAACTAATTTCTTTTATATATATATAAAGAAATTGTTACCATCATAATAGAATAAAGCTTAATTTTTTCTTTTAAATTCAACATTGAAAGGACTAGACAAAACGCTCGAATCAAATAGGACCGGATCAGAATTGAATCAAATTGAGTAGTTCTTTTTAAATTAGATATTCGAACGGATTTTTGAATAAAAAACCAACGGATTTAGTTCATTTTTCGGCTATTGATCAAGAATCGAAGAATCGAATAAGAACCGAATATCTTTTTTATATTTTAAATGAATCTCTGGGCGGCGCTGAAGATCTCCCCTACTTTATTTTACCCACTTTGGCGACTACTTCTGGCACTCATTTCGATGAGTAGCACGGTGTAGATCCATTCTTCTTTCCCTTCTTTAAATTTTTGAATGGTGTGGTGATTGACGGTTTGGTAGTGGAATGTATGGTGCGGTGGTGGGAATGGAGATCTCTGGTGGGTGCAAATGTGATGTGATATTGTGGTGTTATGGATGTGGTGGTTAGGTGAGTGGTGTGGTGTTGTGCGCAATAGTGGTATGGTACTGTCCACAATGCTAGTGCTATAGTGCGGTGGAAGTGGAGGAGTGCGGTGCGGTGGTGGGAACGAAGAGCTTCGGTGAGTGCGACGGTGGTGTGCTACTGTGGGTGTGTTTGGGTGCAGTGGTTGGGTATGTGCAGTACATGGTGTGGTACTATATGCAATGGCGCGGTAGTGGTAGCGGCNGAATCCAACTGCATCGAATGGAACAAAATCTAAACGATTCCATAATTAAATTTGGACCCAACAATTCCATTTTTTAAATACTCGAACATTAGGATTCAGTTCGATTCTCTTAAAATCGAATCGTATCGGACCATGTACAGTCCTAGATATGAAACACTTCATGAAATTTTAACTCATCATTGTGAAAATTAAAATAATTCGACTGCGTTGTATCAATTTCAAGACTTCCAAACTTGCATCTCTACTATAGAATACAAAAATTGCAGTTGTAAATTAAAATTACAGAATAAATGACTTCCTACTTTAAGTAAAATTACATTTTAATCGCAATAAGTAATTTTAACCATCAAATCACTTTTTATAAATGACTCCTAAATGACTCTTCGTGACCTTTTTACAAGTATTTGACTTGTATGAAGATCCCAGCTTATCTTAGGAATATGGTTGGCACCATCAAGTCAACTTGATGAATTTGTGTCCCTCTCGTTAAAGGGCACACTTCTACCACATACTTTAATTCTATTATTAATTAAAAATGTCAATAATTAATAAAATTAATTTTCTAAAAGATAACATCTTATTCTTTATACTTCGTATTTATACAAAATAAAAAGAAGAAAGTTCTGAAAAATTAATAAAATTCACACTAAATTCACTAACTTTTTTAAGTTATAGGTGGAAGGTATAAATGGAATGGACCCAAAAAAATAAATTTGCTTCATGTTACTCCAATAAATTAAGTAGGCCCATGGCTGGCCTTACTTGACTAATAATTTTTATGGAAAAGGTTAAAATGATTGGTTTAGGTGTGATTCAGAACTTGTTTGGAAGTGATTTTGAGAATTGATTTTTTGACCATTAGGAGAAAAGTGGAGTCCACCTGTAAGAGAAAAAGTCAAATATGACGGTTGAAATAATGAAATGACAGTAAAAAAATCAATTTTTTGATCAAAAAATCACTCCCAAACAGGCTGTCAAATTACAATATTCAATACATTTGAGACTGTATCCTAACGGTTACAACAATTATATATTAATTATTTAGTTATTATTGTCTCTTTCAGTACGCTGTAACTATTTTCTTGAAAAATGTTTTATACACTTAAACTATAATTTTAATTAGATAAACTAGATAATAAAGTCAATAGGAAAATTAATTTTTAATATTCTGTCATAATAATTAATGTGACGCCTTTCACCATCTCAAGCTTGACTTAAGTAAGACCACAAAATGAAAATTAACCCTAAATAATTAAAGTTTTCATTTGATAAATTTATAAATAAAAATAGTATGAAGCAATGAGTTCTATGAAATATATAAATACTAATGCGTAACAATTATGAGTATATAATTGAAATTACTATTCGCTTTTAACTAATTTATAATGGAACATTAATCCAGTCACCAAAGAAAGTGATTTTCACAAAATAAGTTTTTCAAGAAAAACAAAAACGAAATCTTGAAAATAGAAGAAGAGCGTCCCCAACGGAAGACGCCTTTGGCTTCACCTCTCGCTCTTCCCCCGAAACTGAATAAAAAAGCTGCTGGTCAGTCAGAAATATATAAATATTAAATACACCATAACTAAACTCACATAATTTTTTTGACAGAAAATATTAACCCCCTTTTATCTCTCCGTTTCTCTATGCACATAATTCTATCCATGCTCTAGATCTACCCATGTCAAAAGGTATACTGCTAACAATCTCAACTTCACTGTTACACGGTTTACTCCACGGTACCATTAACTGAAACCATTTGGATTTTCTGCTAAAGTTTCAAACTTTTATTTGCCAATAATTATACATTTCGTGAAGGGTTCCTTTTTGTTTTTCCCTGTCTCGGTTATAAATCAAGTTTATTTTCGGGTTCTTGAATGGGTTAGGTGTTAGTTTTTGCACATTTATGGTGTGATATGCAGATTGGTGATGTCTGAGTTGAGATTTTACCTTTTCACTTTGTTTAAGTTGAATTATGGGTAAGGTTGGTTTCTTGGGTGAATTGCTTGTTGCAGTGAAGCAATGGAAGAAGAGGAGTTCTTATTAGAATAGAGTAAAAAAGATTCGATTTTGGGAGGTGGGTTGTTTTGGGATTGTGGTGTTTTGAAGTAGAATGGGTTGTGTTTGTTGTAAACCCTATGATGTAGGGGATGGTAAGGAGAGTTCGAGGGAGAGGTTGTCTAATAAAATATCTTCTGATTTACGGGTCCCTACATTGGTAACGTCAAGAAGGGAGGAAGGGAGCAGGGTAAAAGAATGGTTGGACAGCAACAATAATCATAGCAGTGATAGGAGGGCAGTGTTGATGGATAAGCAAGTGAATAATATATCTAGGTCGCTTAATGAGAATATTGAGAGGAAGACTGAGAAGGCTGAGTATATTTCCGTGGTACAATATCCTGGGATGGGCATGGTCCCGAGAGCAACAGAAGGGGAGCAGGTCTCTGCTGGATGGCCTCCGTGGTTGGCTGCTGTTGCTGGTGAAGCTATTAGAGGATGGGTGCCTAGGAGGGCCGATTCTTTCGAAAAGTTAGATAAGGTATGCTCCTTTTGTTGACTTTTGTCATGAACCTACATAGCATTGCTCTAGAATGTAGTTACTAGTTATGATGTGCTCTTAAAATGCTCACTTGAAGGGAATAGATTGATCATACTCAATGATGGTCGCAATTTTACTTTCTTGAGAACTTCTTCCTTCCAAATTATTTATTAATTTTCAATCTATTATTCAAGATTAAT